TGTGGCGCTCACTTTCATTTCTCACATCACACTTATCTGCCGGTTGGTTACAAAGGGAGAGAGCTTACAGTTGCAATTTTTCGTGTTCGATGCACGGAACTTTAAGCCAGTTGCATCGTCAGCTTCGTTTACAGTGGACGACACATAAAGGGATGAGATCGCTCTTCGTATTACAAAAGTGCGTTTCTCCATGGCCGGTACCTACCAGTGTTCCAACAAATTGGTCAGTAGACAAATCAACATTCATGTCTATGGAATTCTAAATGCGATTAGTAGTGCGGCTCAACTCATGCACAAACGGGAAATCGTTGGACACATGCACTTCAACGCTAGTGTTCTGAACACCACCGTGCACCCTACAGTTGCTTATCAGTCCCGTGTTGGTCGTTGCGGTATCAAGTACACTTCCATACGTTGGAAGGGTGGAAAGTTTGAGACACACCGGAGCCTGTACGAGCTTATATATTCGGCCGACGAGGTGAATGGTTATATTTGGAGTAATCTGACAATTGTCCATCCATCTGCTAATCCTGATTTGTACGGAAAATACACATGCCAGTTTAATGTGGTGTCTGGATCGATTGAGTCTGCAGATGTGGAAATCACGATCCCTCCGTTGATCAAACGCCCGGATAGTGTGGTCGGTCATTACTCTGGGAACGAGCTTAGTCATACATGCGAAGTTGTCGCTAATCCCCCGTGACGCAACCCGTCTCCTGGTCTCGAGATGACGAGCCCATTCTTATGAATGCAGTTGAAGAACCTTATGTGTCCCAGTTGGATTGGGCCGGACGTGTTCGGTTTGAAACGGTGCGTGTACCGAATGATCGAATAATCTTTGACCCAGTTATGCCGGAAGATCGTGCAGTGTACTCATGTGTTGTACGCAATGCAGTTGGTAATGCAACTGGAGCCATGTTCCTCCGTGTCAAAGACCGCTGGGCAGTTTTCTGGCCGTTGATTGGAATCATACTTGAGGTCATTGTTATGATCGTAGTCATATTTGTATACGAGATAAAACGGCGAGCCAATAAAAAACGTGAATCCGAATAGAACGGTGATTTGGATGTGGCCTCAAAACCTGCGGGAATTGGCTAAAGTGGTGGTACAGCGACAGATGACATTCTTATAGCATACGTTTATTTTGTTTACAGGCTCCTCCGACAACGAATGTAACGCACAGGTTGACCATCTGCTATCTGAATCCATCCGACCCAGCAATCCCACGTTAGATGTTGAGTTGAAAACAGTAAAGTGAATTTCACAACCCTATGATTCAATCGTGGTTTTCATTTTCTTCTAGTTCCCTCTTCCTGTCACCTCAATTCTGACTTTTATTCGGGTTTTCTACACCGATACGTGTTCGTATATTCCTTATTAATGGTCCGGTACAACATGATATCCCCGTTTTGCACACGCATGTCGTCTCTCCCTCTCCAACGCAGCCCTCCTGATTCTCATAGTCGGATCGTCTACAAGTTCTGAAATGGCTGTACTAGTTACGCTATCTAACTTGATTTTAGATATAATGGTTTCCTCATGTGTATTTATAAACAGGAAATTTCTTTCAGATCGTTTTTCATATTCACCACCACACGTTCGTCGTGGTACACTATGTTTTCATTCTCAATCTCTCCATGACCCGGCCACGTGCACCTGACTGGCCGCGATGGTGACCTACTCAACCATCGCGTCGCTTATGACAATTACAGTTTTCTCTTTTGCTCACTTATTGAGCCGAGTTTATTTACCAGAAAGCCATCTCCCCTATCCCTTGTTTGTTCACCCCGCATTCACTGGAATTTTCCGAAACCCTCGCATTTAGGGAGATGTAGGTTGTGGCGGCGGGATGACTGGTTGCTTTACCATTAATGTGATTCTCCTACCCCAATCGATCTCGTTTGTGCATATGCATTTGTAAACTTGCATCATTTACCCTGTTTTTGGTATTGTGCTATATATCCTACTAGTTGCTCACACCGTTTCCTCCACTCTTATCCATTTAATCGGTACCTCATCTACTGTCATCAATAATTCCTTTGCAATTACCATCATCCAACACGGCGCGCCGAAATGGAGACAACGAGAACCAAACTACCACTGTGATATTTTGGTGTTAGTCCAAATCGGCTGTGTGCTTTGCGCAGGTATCTCACACAGATCTGCATTTCACTCATGCTCATCGCTTCCGTCGTATACAAATCAGTATTCTCGTTCCTCTTTTTCTCTTCCTTTCTCCCATGTAGATGAATTCGAACAGTCAGCTGTAATATAAGAACTATCGCAGAAGATAAACATGGTATGCACATATATCAGCATATAAATATATACATTCAGTCTATAAATACATCATGATGTGGTTGCGAGATGAACGCTATATGCAAGTGCAACCATGTCGAGATATAACTGGACCTTAATCCGTACTTTCTAAATAGCAAGGTTTTCGAACATTCCGTCTCAAAACACTCCGAGATGTCCACACTAACATCTCCCGTGATAGACCATCCGTACCTGGGAAAACTTCATAAACGACTCCCAACGGCCATTGATTTCTATGGACTCGTTCATCCGTCACCAGGACCACATCACCAACTTTTAACTCTCCCGTTCTCACGAACCACTTCTGTCTCTCTTGGAGCATGCACAAGTACTTAGATTTCCAACGTTTCCAAAACGTATTGGCTAGTGGTGGCACCCACCTCCAAAACCTTACACATGAATTTGGAAGGTCACAAAAATCCATGGGAGTTTGGTTATCTCCGAGCAGTATCAACTTGTTCGGGGTCAATGAATCTGGGGCTTTGGGATCGTCGGTCAAGGGCACCAACGGCCAATCGTTCAAGATTCGCTCTACTTCGGAAAGAAAGGTCAGCAAGCTTTCGTCTGTAACGTTTTGACCCTGAGTGACTGCGC